TCCAGATGCACATATTCGAGTGAAGCACCGCGTTATTTAAAGTTGGATGACTCTAGGTACCGTTGTTTGATCACAGTGCGAGAAGCATACATACACTTATGCAGATTCTTCATTTTTTAATTTCTTTAAATATAATACAGGACTCTAACATTTGGTGGCAACAATTTGAAAAAGAAACCCCGTTTATAGTGAACCAACGCAAAATGCCAAAATGAAATTAATAGCCCTTCTGGGCAAATTTCTCCTTTGGGCCTGATAAATAAACTGAAGCTTTATTGTGTTGTAAAATCCAATCTCTCGTGTCCAAATCTGCCCTTGTCTGATAGCACTAGGACCTACACACTTTCAAGATTCACATTTGTGCGAACAGTGAAGAAAGCCCTTTCTCTTTCACTGTCGTCGACCAATTATCGGCCATCTTTGGAACTACGAACCCATTCATACACATGTGCCTTTGATAAGCAATGTTCACTATATGCACCTCACAATTTGTTAAAAATGTCAGGCGGTGTTTCGCCCGATTTAACGGAAAACTTAATAGCCATTCTCTGTTCGATTTTTGCATTAGGCCATTTTCCTGGCAAGCGTTGTAGAGAGGTACTATAGTTCTCACGAATTTCTAATTCCGCTTCTCTAAAAATGCTGTCATTTGGTAGGCATATATTTATTATTATTATTAACGTGTTTCGCCCTAAGACACTTCACGGAAGGGAGGGGTGTCTTCTTGGAAGACTTTCTAAGAGAAACTGGTTCGTATTAACACGTTACACATAGGGAAAAGCACGAAAACGCCCATGCAGCTAGCCCGTTCGCGGTATTCGGACGTCGAACCGAAGTACCGGTGTTCAAGGATTTTTACCGCTCGATCGCTGGTGAGCCGGTAGATACTGCGATAGGACAGGAATATACTGCGATGCTCCTATTTTTTCTAAAGTAGATGCTGGTCATGTAGTATGACATTTATATGCTGCCCTTCTCATATTACATTTTTTAAAGACTGTATAAAGCTTCGAAAATGTCTCAGAAGATATGTAATGGCAACTAAAACGCGAAATTGAATATGCAGTGAAATTAGATCGTTGTATATAGTAGGATGCGAAAATTGCATTATAAGTGAGAAGAAGTTTTGAAGATTGTTTTGTTTCTAATGCCATACTTCAGGGAGGAAAATAATTTAACTGTTTTACCTGCTACGAGAAATAGAACAGTTTCCCCTTAAAAATAATGTAAAATGATAGAACTTAAATTACTTTAAATGCACTTCTAGATAAGAGATTTAAAGTTTAAAGAAACATATATTGATTATGACCTTATTAACTTTTGCAAAACTAGATTTTTAAATTCCCATTTTTTGCTTAATAAACAATTAGGCAACTTGTGAAAAACATATTTACATTATCTATATTCTATACATTGTTACCGGTAAAGTATGTAACGGCAGCATTCTATAGAATGACTATGCATTGTATTTAATACCGGAGGTTTTTTAGGCAAAGTATGAAATGTGAGAATTATTACATACTTTCCCTAGGCATTGTGTATAATACCTAGACATTCTATAGAATGACAAATGCTGTTTGGGTAAAGTATGAAAAACATGTTATAAGACTATTATTTAAAATATTTTCATTCCTCAAAAATACAAATGTTATTTTGAAAAATTAATGAAAGAATGCAGTTAAAATACAGGGTGTTTATAAAGTCCCGGACCCATTTTGATGTTTAATAACTCATAAAATAATGAAGATATAATAAACAAGCGTATGACATTTATTGATAGAATAACTTATACATTTTCCTTTTCAGGTTTGAATATCTTTACTTTTGTAAATATCGTCTGCGCGCGTGGTTAATTTCAGATAATTTCATATTCCAGTCTAAATATCTGTACTTTTCTAAATATCGTCTGCTTATTAATTGCATTTTTATTATCTTTTTTTAATTATTTTATTTTTTATTTTATTTTATTTTATTTTTTTTTTTTTTGGCAACTATTGCAATGTTATGTTTACTTTTGATGTGTTTTGTTTAGTACTTTTGTATGTGATGTTTTATTCCAGAATTTATGCCAGAATTACAACTGCAATAGCCTCTGTGGATGCCGACATGCTTGCCGGTACCTGGCGTGAAATTGAATATCGACTTGATATTCTCCGTGCTACGAAGGGGGCACACGTGAAAAGTTCGTTGGTCAATGACAAGGGATCATGAAACTTTTTGAGTATATCTAACCATTTTATGATATTAATTTTAATTTATCTTGCATTATTTTATGAGTTATTAAACATCAAAATGGGTCCGTAACTTTATAAACACCCTGCATTATTCAAAATATGTAAAAAAAAAAAAAAAGAAAAAAAAAAAAAAAAAAGAAAATGAGATGATCTTGATACACCAGTTTGTACTTTCTGTCTGGCTCAGACTGGGAATTAATAAGATCTACCTGTCAATGGAAATCAAATTCAGAAACAGTCCTAAGTTTCATCACCAGTGCACTTTTTAATACCATTTTGTTTTTTAGACGAATACAATTAGTACCATTCAATATCATTATGTATAATGTTGTTCTATTTGGTTGAAAATTCTTTCGACATTCTGTCACGTCGTCCGTGTACAGTACTCAAATGAGTTTTCATGAAATACGAAAAATAACCCAGCGTCTGTGACGTAATACTGGATAGTACTGATGTTTCCTTTTAACAGGGTAAATGAATGTACTTTTATTTTCCACAAACATCATATCCTAGTGATTCAGCAGCCAGTAGTAGTCTTGGGTTCCTTTTAAGCAGTTATTTTGCCTTTTTTACGTCATTTACTAACTTCTGTAAGTAGTTTCGGTTCTTCGAAACGAATCGGAAATGTATTTCATACTTTTCCATTAGTTTGTCATTTGGTATTATATAGAATGCCTAGATGAATCGTTTCATACACTGCCGGGTAGTTTTAGGCATTATATGCAATGCCTAAACCTAGCATTATATGCAATGCTTAGGCATTACATGCATTGCCTAAGCATTCTATAGAATGCTGGATTTCAAACTTTGCCGGTAATATATATATATATTATAGTCAGACTAAAACTAATACGTTCTTATGTAAAGGCGTGTTTTTTAACACAATTGAACTAATTCGGAAATCTTGGGCGACATTTTCTAGATAAAAGAATTAGGTATTTAATTAGGTATTTGATTAGCTGATTAGAGTTTTAGTAAGTCGAGTAAAAACTACGAATACTTCAAATATACCATCAATTAATACTAAATCGATTTAAAATCTTTTGTTGCTCATTCGCGGAATGAACTTGACTTGAAAATACATTTACTCGTAGCAGCATAATAAGCAAAAAAAAATTGAACACACGAAAACGTGATCTTTTCTTCTCCCCCTCTCTTTAAAGGAAAATTCTCGAAGGTATTTAATTAGGTATTTGATTAGCTGATTAGAGTTTTAGTAAGTCGAGTAAAAACTACGAATACTTCAAATATACCATCAATTAATACTAAATCGATTTAAAATCTTTTGTTGCTCATTCGCGGAATGAACTTGACTTGAAAATACATTTACTCGTAGCAGCATAATAAGCAAAAAAAAAAAAAAAAATTGAACACACGAAAACGTGATCTTTTCTTCTCCCCCTCTCTTTAAAGGAAAATTCTCGAAGGTTTTTTTTTCTCAACCCACAAACCAGTTTAGGTTCAAAAAACTACCCTGTTAAAAGAATGCGTCGTGAGTTTCAAAAACAAATTCCCTCTATCTACTGCGCTTTATCATATTTCTGACTGCAATTTGGTCTGAATCGATTTTGAAATCGATTTCGTTTTAAAATTCTGATTTACTTGCAAGCAGAAGTTTGTAATTATTGATGATACTTGCTAGGAGCTCAGACTGATCTTATACGGACAGCATGGTTTGTAAAAGTAATGCAGTAATTTTTATTAATCCCATATTAGATAATTTTTTTGCAATATCCGCGGGTTATAAGAATTTTGAGCATAGGGTAGAATAGAAGAATATTCATTTTTAGGGCAAAGGCCGCTGGCCCAGACGGGCTACTAGTTTCAAAATGGCATTTTGAGTTTATTCACTTTTCAAACTGTTGCCACCAAATATTATCGCCATGTATTATATTTAAAGAAACTAAATAATGAAGAATCTGCACGAATGCATGAGTTTCTCGCATTGTAAAGTAACGGCGCTACCTAGAGCCATCGAATTCTGAATAACGTAGGCCTCCCACCGAACATGGGAACATGGGCACTTGGAAGCCCGAATTTTGAATTTGTTTTATTGTCTATTTAAAAATTTTGTAAACCTTGAACGAATTTTTGGTTAATAAACTCAACGATTTCAAAGCAAGCAATGGCAACATTGTGCGAAAAAGCACATTCTTATCTCCAGCGGTGAGACTGTGTATCGGGAATTCTAAAGATATGCTGTTTTATTTTGTGTTATTGCTAAAGAATTGAATTTTATGTGTTTTAAGTGCGAAGAACATGATATTTAATCAATAAAGGTAACATGCAAAACGTTAAAAAATCACCGTTTTGGGCGTATTTCATTTTGAAATGCATAAATAATAACTGCAGATCACCAAAATGATCGCTGTTGGATGGGCTTTATTTCTTGCGTCTGGAACCTTTCTAACATGTAATGTTCATAAAGTGAAAAGTTATAACTAAAACTTTATTAGATGCATTGTATGTACAGGTCCTATATACCCATTTCCAGTGCAGAAAATATATATCTTTTAAATTAAAAAAAAAAAAAAAAAAGTTTAAAGCTCTCGTACGGGTTATTAGTCTCGAAACACGATTATGCGTTGTTTCACTTTTTATTCGAACCTGTTGCCATTCGGAAAAATAATTCCACGCGGGCCATGTCTGCTGGTAATCTCTACTGATAAACCATGTTAACCTTAAAAAGAGCCTTTCTGTGAGATCGTTAAAATCTGAACGCTTTCAGAAGTTTTTGTTTTTTAAATGTTTGTTTGAATAAAATACCTTTCTAATTCTGACTGCTTACTGGCCAGCGCCATGTCCATGATCCATTTCTTGAGTCGGCTTCCATTGACGCTGTTTTGTATCTAAATAATAAACAAAAAGAAATTTCCGTTAGAATCTGTTGATGGTATTAAATTAAGAAAAATACGTTGTCTAACATCAAGACATGCATTATACACCGCTTGCATTTGCAAAACAATTTACTATTATTGCTGACTCCATAGGGTTCCTCACTATTATCCTATACTGTTAGCTAGTTATAGAGAAAAAATAGGCTGATTCAAGGACAGCTGTATTGCTAGGCATGATTAAGGCCAACAGTTGTACAAGAAACAGAGTTGCGAGAAAATCCTTCCGGATTTCCAAGTTTGAAGCTTTATGACGATATTGCAGAAGATAACATGATTGTATTTGAAAAAATATATAATTTTATACATGAAAAAATATATAATTTAAATTTAGGCTCTTGCATAGGTGAATAAATATTGGTTGTTGTAAATGGGTAAATGTCAATTTTGTGAGCAGATAAATATTAATTATTGTACAGGAATAAATAAGACCTGAAATAAATATACCTGAAAATAACCCTTAATCCATCTGTTGGAGTAAAAATTAATATGAGACTCTATCTTATTTTCTAGGAAATAAGACAAATAGGTATCCGTGAGACAGGGTTTATTTATAGAATGAAATTATATGTCTCAAAAGGCTAAAATATAATACAGTACAGTCCCGCAAACTTGACAAAATGTGGACTGAGAGACTCGAGTTTTACGGAATAAGGGGTGGGTTATTCAGAACTCTTAACATTAATATAACTCTTGATATGTGTGATATTATTTTTATAATGTTTTAACTAAAAAGCTCTAGAAATCGAATATTATGATGCTAGAGACAAATAATTTATGAATTAAAAAAATATACTCTTGCCCATTCATCTGTGGGTGGTGGTATCGCTTTTCCATCAGTCAAACCTGCCAACACTAGCATAAATCCAGGCTCTCCTTGAAATTCATCATAAAATTTTAGGTCTTTCTTTTGTAAAATGAGTCTCTGAATTGGGTCTTCCCTGTTCCCTTGGCTGCTTGAACCACAAATAAAGCACCTCGCTCACTTTTTCGTATTTACCACCTTTCAGTACCTTCTCTTTCCTTTAAACCAGGGTTTCATAAACCGTGAGTCGCGACCCCCAAGGGTGCTCTTTTAAGTGCACTTTTTATAGTATTTATATGCGATGCGTACTTCCCTATACTAAGTTTTTCTAACAATAAATTTAGGTTCATATTATATGTATACAAAAGGGAAGAATTAGAAAGGAACTATTCCAGTTAAAATATCATTTTAAAACGAAATGGCAACGGTGTTTAAAATGTAATCACTGTCACTAATTTTTATTTGTATTTAGTATGCTCAGACAACACTTCATATCTAAATGCACTCTTCAAGAACGTATAATAATTATCGAAACTTTTTATGAGAAAAGAAAAACATTCTTTTGCGAATCATCAATGTGAGCTTAGCGAAAACTATGGTCTACATCAGGGTTTCTTAAACTGTGGGTCGCGACCCCTTGGGGGTCACGGTACCTGCAGCAGGGGATTGCCAAAAATTTTAGCAGTTTTGATATTTCTTTAATTTATTATAATAATTTTACACAATGTATCTGAATGGCCAAATATTTTAACACAATGTATCTGAAAATAGATGAAGATAAGACAATACAGACAAAGGAAAAGACGAAAACGTTTCGATGCATTCTTTTTATGATATAAACGTTCATTTTCCTTGCTTTGCACGTGACGCTGTCATTTCGTCTGTTACTTATTTAAAATTTTCACATTGTTCTATGTCTTAAAATTAGAAATTAAAGTTAATGACCTAAAACTGCAATAGTATATATTACAGTACAAGGGACAAAATTGTCAGTTTCACTCACGCGTGTGTCGGATTTGCACAATGCTTATGGCGTTCCACAAAATTTTTGTAAATATTATGAGGTCCTGGGGGTCACGAGAAATCTCAGTAATAAAAAGGGCTCGCCAGTAAAAAAGTTTAATAAAACCCTGCTTAAACTCCCTATCCGTACATGTTCTTTTCACACACCAAGGCTCGATTTCGAACCACTTCTTTTTCTACATTATCAAAGTAGTTCGCTCAACGCTTAGATGCATGGTAATTTTGTTTAGACTTTCCTTTTTGTCCAGTGATCTAGTTCCATTTCCATTGTCACGTTAGTTTGTTTTCTTTTCCCTTCGAACGACATTTTCACTTCACAGAATATCAAAAATTCCTCAAAATATGTAACACCTAAATGTGAACTGAGGAACCCGCAATGAGCTGGTATTAGTTTGCAATAATACGCAGTTACAAAACTTCAGACAAGTCTCGTAACGTTTCGCAACAATAGAAAGGAATGTGAGCCAGGAAATCTTTAAACAGAGCCGGACACACTCAAATCTTTGAACAAAGCAGGAAAGACATACGCATAAATAATAATTATTCTATATGTACTGCGTGTAATATTTGCTCTGTTTCGCCTTAGAGATAACTTAAAAATTTTCCTAAAAAGTTGTCGAGTTTGCGGGATTCTGCTGTACCGGAGGATTAACTGTAGAAAGATACTGTATAATCTACTACATAAATAAGCTCTTGCAATGGCCTGAAATCTGTTGGACCAAATACGTAAAAAATCTGATGTGTATACCACATGACTTCCTTGTACGGAATATTAAATTATACGCATTTTTTCTTGCATGTCATTTAAACTTATTGGATTGAATTAAATCTACTTCGACAGCGCATAAACCACAATAGAATAAATGCGTTCTTTAAAATTCACTCTAGTATTTGTTTACCATAGCGACACTCTGGCGCTAGATTCACTTAACGGTATTATATTTCGTTCATATTATAACTCATAATGCAAAAAATTTATATCATTTAAAGAATAGAATTATCTAATCGTTGCCACATGTTCTATTCAAATACTATAATAAAGCTAGAATGATGTATAAAAGAAATTAAGCAAACAACAAACAAAATTTAAACAAAAAAGAAACAGAACATTTTTTTCACAGACGATTGAGTATTTCTCATTGCAATTAATTCAGTTCTCACTTCGCGAGCAAGGCAAAAATACATAAAAACTCAAAATATCTGTATTAAAATTAACGAAGTAAATTTTAATATAGATATTTATAAATTTTAATATAGATATTCCAGAAAGGAATAAGCATGATTTAATTGGCAATAATAAATGAATGCGTTATCTTTGTTGTTGCGAAGCTAAGTTTCTTTAGATTGGCAACAAATCCATTAGTCTGCTGTTTCAAATGTAAACAATCAATGGCCGCCGTCAAAACAAAGGCTTAGCGGCACTTAAACAACTTTAAAATTGTTGATAATTCTAAAAATATTGCACACAGATTTACTAAAGGCCGGTTACTAACCTTAACCGGAAGATAAAAACAACATAATTCAATCATTTTTAAAGCAAAAAATGTACAATTTACAAACATATGAGAGTAAAGAAACTGAGATCACTGAGCCGGGTAACAGAGTGAATATATATATATTAATATATTTATATACGTTTGGCGCGGCCGATTGAAACCAAAATACGAGGTGCACATCTACATGCTATAGTAGTCTTATATACAAAATTTCAACGTTCTGAGGCTACTCGTTTTTGAGTTATGCGAGATACGTACGTACGCACGTACGTACATATATTCGTACAGACGCCACGAAAAATTCTCTTCAGAATTCATTTTAAAGCAGTTTTTTAGTTTTTTTGGAGGAAAAGAGTCTTTTATTCTGTCCTTACGTACAGATATCACGCAAAAGCATCGTTAAATTGCATTCGATAGCGGTCAAAATGGATATTTTCGTTGAAATATGCTGCCTGAAACTTTTCGCGATTACAATACTTCCTTTTTACTTCGTACAAGGAAGTAAAAATGGTTAAAATGAAAGGAACATGCGACAAGACGATTACATCCCGAAAAATGGTATCTTGCAGAAGATTTAATTGCTATTTTACCAAAACCATTTTACCTGATCATAAATCCTGTTTAAAAGTCTTGGGACAGCAGGTATGAAAGTTGGCCTTAACGTTTTGATATCATCTGTCAGAAGTTTGATATTTCCTTGTGAAAATCCAACACTTCCTCCAGTCATGTACACAGTCACCTGAAAGGGAATCAAATCAACGTCTTATATTTCCTCTAAAAACAAACATTCATTTTTATCATACAAAAGAATTTCCTCCGAGTGCAAGAGAATGACTATTCATGTACAGCCAGAAAATTATTTTCCTGTTCGGGTAATCAATATTTTCCTGCTCGGTCTTTTCGATCTTTTTATAAAACGATAAGGAGTTCCGGCTGTGTAATTTGAATTACTTACAATTCAAGCAATGAAACGAAAAGTTTAAGTAAAAACAAATTAATGTCTTGCATAACAAAATAACGTTATCAACTTAAAAATACGATCCTTCTCTTATTATTAGGGGTAAAGCACGGGACAATACAGCTTAGCATTGAATAAAAAGGTGGCATATTACTCGGGATGACTTTTAAAACCCAACAAAAGAGTTATCCGATGTATACACCACTTGACTTCCTTGTACAGAATATTAAATTATACTCATTTTTCCTTGCATTTAATTTAAACTTATTTCCTCAAATTTCATTCTAGTTATATTTCCTATTCAATTGGTTGAGTTCTCGTTTCGCGACAAGGCAAAAAACATAAAACCTCAAAATTCCTTTGTTAAAAATTGAAAAATATAAAACACCAAATACAGTTACAACAATTAAAACATTTTTACAACTAAAATTAGAGTTTCTACGCAAAAACAAGCAATTCGGCCAGCCAGCAAGAAGGCAGATTTTGGTGCACAAAACTGAAAGTTTCCTTTTTTCCCCACTCGGCAAAAAGACACGGAAGGTGCAGAAACTCATTTAATTCACTGTTTTGCTAAGTTTCAAATGTAAACAAATATGCCTGCTATGGTAAAAAAATTAGTTTCAGCCGAACTTAAACAACTTTTAAATTGTTGATAATTCTACAACTATTGCATGCAGATTAACTAAAGGCATAAAACCTTAACCAGAAGATAAGAACAACATAATTCAATCATTTTTAAAGCAAAAAATGCGCAATTTACCAACATACATGAATTAAAAAAACTGAGCTCACGGAGCCGAGTAACAGGTTGAGTATATATATATATGTAAGATAAAAAATGTATGAATCAGAATTATAATATAACTATAAACATAAATTCTTCCTCTCTATTCTAAAATCGTAATAACTTATCTTCATTGCGTCATTCAAATTAATCATGCGATCTTACGTAACCGTTAATACCAGATGCCTCTTGACAACCAATCACCGAATTGTAAACCAAAACTTTTCTCTTCGCGTGCTTCCATCTTTCATAACTACGCACTTTGGTTTTTTTCTCTCTACTGTGCTAAGATGTAATTTCGCTGGCTTGCTTTCTATCCCAACAATATCAAAAATCTAAATCTTCTGTGGAAAGGCACGACTAGAGTGCCAAGTGATTGTGGCCACAAATATCAATTGGAAATAAAAATGGAATTAAAACTGCCTCGACTGCCAAGTTCTTTAAATACTACGCAATCAAAATTCTTCTTCAATATGGGTCTAATCACGCATCTACAGTGTTCCGTTATTTCCTTGTGCATTTATTATGACATATATATATATATATAGCAGTGCTATATACAAAATTTCAACGTTCTGAGTTACGTTAGTTCTGAGGATACTCTTTTTTGAGTTATGCGAGATACCTACATACATACGTACAGACGTCACGAAAAAAATCTCTTCTGAATCCATTTTTAAATCATTTTTGAAACTCGTTTGGGAAAACGAGTCCTTTATTTCTGTCCTTACGTACAGATGTCTCGCAGAAACATCGTTTAATTGCATTCGATAGCGGTTAAAATGGATATTTTCGTTGAAACATGACATCTGAAAATTTTCGCGATTTCAATACTTCGTACTTGGAAGTAACAATTTTTTAAGTCGCTTAAGTTTGGAATTCGGAATTTAATCTGGGAAAAGGACGCATTTCATTTTGCTTAACATATCCTTACGCATTTTGTATATATGTAAATAAGTGTAGTCGCACTGTATGTAAATCTTAGTATCTCTTGTATAATGCAGCATAAAATATCTCAAGACAGCAAAGCTCAGCCAGAAAAATAAGATTACCGGCGCATATCTATTTAACACTAAGGTAAATTACGCCAAGCTGCTGATTTTTTTTTTTTTTTTTTTTTTTTTTGACTCATTTTTATCATCAAATTTGGTGGAAAATCGCTTAAGTCGCCACGATTGGCGACATTTTGGTCCGATTTCTCGTATATTTGTCACTAGTTCGATTCGTATGTAACATTAACTATATGTATGCCTTCCAGCAGTTTCGAAAAACTGAAGGTATTTAAAATTTCTCTGTGGCTGGAGGAAAACTATATAAGGCAGAAGAAATCATCAGTTCTGTTTTTCGTTCAGTTCGGAGTGCTGAAGGATCTCCGCATGAGCTTCGCTGTTTAGATGCGCTGTGCATTGCATTGTGTTTAATGTTTTCAATAGTCAATAGTTTGAAGTAGTAACTATTGATTGGGCTCTGTCGTACTGAGAAGAGCTGTACAAGTACGTTTGTGAAACGTTTCAGAATGTAAAGCGTTTCTTTTGAAAAATTAAATTTTATCAAGCTATCATCGGTTCTGTGTACATTCAATCCATACGAACTCGTATGCACGTAACAGAATTATTTTTCGTTTATTTTCAAATACCGTAGCCGAAAATAGTTTTTTTTACTACTGGTGTTTGGTCGTTGGTTTACATACAAGTTCAAATTATCAGAACCAGATGGCATTACACGTTAGATAATTAAAAAAACTGTTTTTTCTTCATTTCAGTATACATTATTCAGAATTCTTAATACTGATACTCAACTTGGAACTCTCTGGAAAACTCGAAACTCTGTATTTGATTGAGAGAAATCCAGGTGAGTGTTCACCCCTTCTCAATTAAGATCGTAGTCTTCCGCCATACAGGTAACAAGAATATCAATAAACCAAGAAGGTTATATTCTTCCCAACACTCGAGTTTAATGACGTCACTTGATTTATGAAAGAGAGAAAAAAGAAAACACAAAGGGAGTAGAGAATAATTGTTTTGGAGCAGACTATGTGTCAATGATGTCACACGCTCAAAGATTTATAGTCGAGAAGAACAAAGCTTCTAGTATAATAATCTTGGGCAAGATTGTCTTCCGTTTCGCTCATAGCACTGCTCAACAAAAGTGATAGCTTTTTTCGACAGCCTCATCCGCGAAGATCAGCGCAAACACGCATGCGCCATTCGGACCGAATTACAGTGAAATGTCGAGGTATGAGTTTAATTCGTTTCAGCATTGAGCTCGTATAGCATATTTCTCATATATAGAAACAAACTTTCCTACTGAAAATAATGGAAATACAGTTAATCCGTTCCGCACCCCCAAAAATATCAACATAAGAATCAGTTTTTCTAATAAATAACAGTGTAACCATAATATAACCGTAGTTAACGTTTGTGATAGCTTCCGATAAATCATAGCTTCTGAAACCGACCTTTTAACTACTTCTCGTTAATCCACACCAAGTGCTTTTCATCATCTTCTAGTAGTTTGGGAGGGTGCTTGGAAGTAACCGTAACTCCTCTGGCTATTGATGCAGCCAAAGGAGTCTTTTAATTTCTTCAAAGCCAAAGGACTTTCTTAATTTCTTCCTACTCCTTCAGGACACTGCAAACCGTCGATGCCGAAAGGCCGCAAGTCTTCGCCAATTACTTACACGACGCTTGTTTATCTATGATTTCTTTCTTAATTTCAACGGCCATGCCTACCTTATTTTACTTTGCAGCACTATCTGAGACAACAATCTTCTTGGGAGGCATCGTGAAATAATTATTTTCACATTAAATGTAATAAACGATTGACTCACAAGCGCACAAACACATAGATCAAGAACACCGAGTGATCTGACGAGCGGATTCCCCCAAGTCGAGCAGGTTAGACAAATGGCGCCACGCATACTAATAGCCTGGCTCGTTGCTCGAGTCAATGCTCGTATTTAGAGACAAATGTTTCGCTCATACTTTCCTCGTGTCTCGAATTTCTCGTGTATAGAGGTGCTCGTATGTCGAGGTTCCACTGTATTCTCAAAATAGGAACTTTCCCTCGAGCATATAAATTTTCTCGAGCATATAACAGTTTCAGGTGAAACTGAAGTAGAAAACTTTTCAGCAAATTTTGTAGAAATCTTTACAGCACTCAAACGCGGATTTTTTCATATATTTCCTAACTATAAATCTCTAATCACGTTGAATCACATCGAGTCCTATTTGACGGATAACCTCTTCTTACTTTATTTTGTATCCGATTTTCTCATTGAAAGCATTTTACCATACGCTGCACCACAACACTGACCTACTGAGCAACTTCCGACCTATGTTAGCCTAAAGGCAACAAACGGAATATGTTACTCAGAGGTAAAACCATCTACTATCTACTGGCCACAACCTTAGGTCGGGGTCAAAACAGATCAGTCGGGCACTAAAATGCCAAAGTCAAATTTGAAAGTTTGCATTTGTACAATATACAGAGTTATTTGGATATATTGCATACATTGAAGAAATACAGAATGAAATAAATGTACTAATTTACTGATATCCCGAATCAATTTGCAATACTTATGATGAAAAATGATCAATTTCTGAATGCCGGTCGTTGTTTCCTTACGACTAGGAGCTATTTTTAAATAAAGTATAACGAAGTAAGCAAGCAAGGAATAAGGCCAAATGAATTTTTAAGCATCACTAACTCGGAAACATAAAAAAAAAAAAAAATGTGGTAGACGATAATTTTATTTATGAAGTTTTACGAAACATGTTTCGCTCTACGACGTGTGTCACTCTGTGACGTGTTTTCTCTACCTACTTACATTTTAAAAAAAGAAAACAAATCAATATTAAAAAAAAAAAGAAAAGTTTAGTTTTATTCAAAATCACACGGAGATGATATGAAAAATGCTGGGCTCTATTTTCGAATTCAGTTCAGGGTTACAGCCCTATAAATTATTAAAGTGTACGATCACTTTTGCGAACCACTG